AAAAATATCCATACGCTTATTTTAAACGTTGATACGCTCATTAATTAAATTTAACATTAACTCAAGCCTCCTCTCAAAAAAAACAAGTAAAAATATTTTTTTTTCCAATTTGTCTGAGATACCAGTATTTTTTCAAATTCTCCACAAAGAGTAACTGTACCAGATGATATAGTTGGTTCTCGTTTACCAAGAGTAGCAGTTCAAACACGTTAGCATTTTAATATAAAGACAATAAATACAGTATATAAGAATGGAGTTGTGTTAATTTAATGCATAGAGAAAATAATAGATAGTTCTATACAATCTAGTACAATTAATCAAATTACTGGACTTAGACGACTTTTAACCAGGGTTTAAATCAAAATAATATATATTGTTTACCGTTATGGGACATTATAAGCATGTTATAAGCAATTGAGCGTTTAATGTTATAAATAATTTAAACGTTATTTAATTTAAGCATTTAAATTTTATACAAATTTAATTGTTTAAAACATTTTTCGTTAACCGTTATTGACAATTAAAACGTTATGAACAATTTAGCGTTTTACGTTTAGCGTTTTGCGTTATTTAAATTAGTGTATAATTTGAAACGTTTTCAAATGTAGTATTTAGCAATCAATACTACTCGTATGTAAAAAAAACATTTTTTTTTTTTTTAGCTTAACGGTCCATTAAAATAAATAAATATGTAAAATAACATTACATATTTTAAATATTATGTATACGAGTATGAAACGATATTTTCTTTTTGTAATTCTTATAACTCATAATATGCAACAAATATTATTTGTTGTACTAGGTACAACAATAAAATGCACATACCACGTAAAATATGTATTTATTGTAAATTTATAACTAATGTTTCATCAGTGTTCACCGAAATTATTTTTGATGAGGAATGCTATCAGTTTTTCAATCAAGATCGTTTAAGGACTGAGTTAGAAGTGCATTATTCACGTGATGACTCCGTAATTTATCTAGTGTTATTTCTACGTTAAATTATATCATAAATAACAATATGGAAGATACATTTAAAGAAGTAACTAAACTTCTAAAACTCTTGGCATGCATACTAATGATATATTCAGAGGCTGAAAGAAGTTTTTCGACGTGGAAGAGTATTAAGCCGTGTTTGAGAAGTACTATGTGTGAGGATAGACTTAATGCATTGACTGTGTTAAGTGTAGAAATGCACATGATAATTTATATTATACACGATGTAGTATTTTTGCAATACTCGTGTATTATTAATATTTTAAAAAAAAGTTTCGGAACTTTTTTTTTATAATGGGCTAAATCTGACAAATGTAAAACTATCGCTATCGAATAAGTTTTTATCTTATAATTTAAAAGTAAAAAATAATAATTTAAGATAGTTTTTTTTTTTTATTGTATAACCATTTAAATTAATCGTTTTTGTCAAATAATTATTACTTTAAAAAAAAAAAAAAAATTATCAAACTGACATACATTTTTGGCACGAAAAGAAGGTTTTCGTGTTTAAACTAGCTCAACAGAAGTAAAAACATAATTAAGTTACTATAAACTAATCACATACTCGTATTAAAACCTTATAAAGATTATAAAATAAAAATTATATATTTCATCTGAAAAATATTTTTATTTTTTTTTTTGTGATAAATATTAATTATAATAACAATTGAAAATATGTAGCCTTAAAAATAATGCTGACGATACATATTCATGTAGAACTTATGGATTATAGTTTAGACGTAAAAAAATAAATTATTTTTTCACATTAAATTGAATACGAATAATTTTATCAGTCAGAATTCAAATCACCAAGATACAAATAATATATTCACGTCGCCTTTTATCAAATCTCCTTTTTACCTTTCAAAAGTTTTTTTACGCTCCATCACTGATTCTAATAATATCCTATTACCAAATAACTCTACAGACGATAAGCCATTTTCTAAATTTATTTCAGATCTTTTGGCATTAATAAATCCCTTCATTTCCGTTTTAACAACTGTTCTACATAAACAGCTTATTCCAATCCATATTATTTTCCACCCTATTAATTTAAACTGTCACATTTCTTATCACTGAATATGTTATCTGTGACTTTAAAACTATATAATTCCTCAACCCATATTTTATTAATTCTATAATGTTGTTATCTTTATTATTAAATTTCAATGAAGTTATTTTATGATAATGATTAATGTTTACTGATGTTATAATATATATAGTTAGTGATATTTTACATACGATTTAATTGTTGAGCCGTAATAACTTTGTGTTGAAATCTTAATAAAAATAAATATATCAGTAATGCATTTTAAGAATAATTCAATCACCTATTGATCTGAAAAAACAACGAACTTCTACATAAGTAATGTAAATGTTTTCGTAGAAAGCAATTTTTTAATTTGTAATAATGTACACACGCACATAAAAATGTACAATTATTTGTTATACGAAATGTTGCATTTGTATCAAATATATAGGTAGTTGAGTGCTAACGTTTTAACAATGTCTGTTGTAGTAATGCGTTTATATATACGTGTATACATTTTAACCATGCACGCGTTTTCGTTAAGCGATTTGTGCAAAACGAATATGTATAATATAAAGGTATATTAAGCTGTGTCGTTGCAACAAAAAAAATTATGCGCATACGGAAGTAATAATTATTATAACACAAGTCATTAGTGTGTTTCGTACTGTTTGCGAATTATTACGCATCGTTGGTTGGATACGGTTAAGAGTAATCAATTACGAACGAATTAACAATAGTATCTACCCCACTGTTGAGTACATTAGTTCTTATCCACAATACTTATCTACCACTTTTTATAACGTACACACATCCTTTTGCATCCTCGAAGATAATATTTTGCATAACGCATAACAGGAGCGTACCCAAGAATTGTTTATGAGGGGGGGGGGGTTCAAAATGTTTATTTTATCTATTCTCTAATTATAATTATAGTTTAACCCAATACCAAAAAATTACTGTTAATATACTGTTAATGTACTATAGTATGGTTTATACATTTTAGGTATATTATATAATTTATAAAATTTGTATATTGAATATAATGGGAAATTAAAATACACCATATGCTATTATTATATTATTTACTATTAAACCGTTGAGTATGTATAAATTTCAATGGGGGGGTCCGGACACGACCCCCCCTTGGGTACGCCCTTGACGCATTATATCCTAAATACGAAATCGAAGACTTATCGTCGTTTAAAAACGTTCCGTATCACTTCGACGAACTTCACCACCACTCGACCGTACAGCAATAATGCGCCAATCCGACAGCAACCAATACGTGGATTTTGAATAGAACGGAGCGTAATATTTGGTACGGAGGAACTAAGGGCTACAATATCGATTTATACAAGGTTCGTACGTGGTACGCGATTTTTTTCACCAAAGTATTTTTATTCTACGGATCAACAGTTCTAAGAAGAAAAAAATTGTTCTGGACACAGGTGGAGGAAAATGTACTAGTTTATCTGTTATACTTTCATCTTTTGTTTCCGTGACATGTCGAAAAGAGATTTTCGCAAAGGAAAAAAAACGACAAAAAAAAAACAATTAGTTCTTCGTCGTTTGTTTTATGGAATGAAAAACAACAAACTTCTTAATGCAGTGAAATGTAAATGCGCACCGAGGCACTGCAAACCAATTATGAGAATATCTACTCGAGATGTTATATGGCCGAGCACAGGATAAGCGGACGCGGACGTATTATTACGAAGAACTTGAACGATAAAAAGGAAGAAACACAAAGAAGGAATAATAATTTGTCGTTCGGCTTGATATACCGGAGTTTAATATAATTTGTTGAAAAACTGAACAACTGAAATTGACTTTGTTATTTTCACATGCCGTATAACGGCAAAGTGCCGTTAAACATATGTGGTTTAAAACGATACAGAGCGAGGGCGTAGTATTATTATGTACGGCGACTGTATCAAGTTTTAGTGTACACCAATAGAAAATATCTAATAATTCGGTACTAATATATAAGATATTAATTTAATTGTTTACCAACTACTCCGTGGACGAGTTTGTTTACTCGCCGCAGTGTTTGCGTTTTGTATTACATAAAATCGTTAAACAGTAACAATTAAAACAATTGAAATTTCTCCGTGTACTCGAGTACGATGATTTCAGCACAGGTTCTTCGAAAGGTTAGTACGAAAATTACATTATCACTCTCGTACGGTCTTGTATGACGTTATATTTGTAAATTTGTTGCGTTTTACGAACATTTTTTTGAACATCAGCTTTATGTTTTAAATTTATCATAATGACAAAATGTATGAACATTTTACACGGCGAGTAGGTACAGTTTATGTGTGTACATTTTTATTTCAGTATACGATGTCTTTATATTTTTTTATTTTTTCAAATAATTTGCTTAGGAGGCCACTTGGACAATTACGCTCTAAACGACGGAGACATACGAAATCTATGGATTTATACGTATTGAATAATTAAATACCAATAGACGAATATTACTCAGTGGTTTATCTCATTATTGAAAGTACCTACGAAATTATATAATGCTGGTTACTATTTCGATATATGTCCATATTAAATAATGTAAATTTACCCAGAAAAATAAATCACATGATATCTAAATAATTTGTGCTTTCCAGTTCGTATTTTCGTGAGTTATTTTGGTTAATAATAATAAATCATTATTTTTAAAACAATACAATAGGTACATTTTTTTTATTATTTTCTTCGAATGGAAAATTATATAAATACACACACATTTATAGGTAAATACGTGTACGTTAAAAATTAAAGTTTGTTTGTTAAATATGATTTGCTCTGATACTATTAAGTAAGAATACGTAGTCGTAACGTGCATAATATGCACATGATATATGTATATATACTTAATACATGTAATGACTTTTATAATTTTGCAATATAATACAGTTTTTAAGTAATATGTACATTATTATTTATTTATTTATTTATTTTTTTATTTTTTCAGTAAATTTTGATCATTTTGAAATTCTGCGGGCAATTGGTAAAGGCAGTTTTGGTAAGGTGAGTAAAAACCATATTTAGTTTAAGCTTATTTCATTGAGATGAAATCGATTTATTACGACTTTTTACTTTTATGATTTATAATATTATTATTTAACATTAAAATTCAAAATTGCTTTAAATTGCCGATTGCAAACTATTCTTCATATTTGATTCTTTAAATATAAATCGAATATAAACTAAAATATGCTTTTTTAAGTAAATTTTCAAATGACACAATTTTTATTTTTCTACTCGACTTGAGATTCCTATTATTCATAAACATCATTAAATCATGAAAATGGTACGTTTGAGAAAATTAGAAAACATTTCCCAAGAACTACGGTTCATTATCACATTAAACAATTTTATGAATTCGTAGGTTTGATTTTTACACACATCCTCAACTATTCATTGAAATTGTTTAAGTTTTATACTTAATTAAAAAATACTCATATTTAGCTAAAAAGAAACTAAAATATACATGATTTTTATTTTAAGTTTTTTTTATTTATTATTATAAATCATTATAAGAATTGTAATATTATAAATTTATTATTTTTTTTAAATGTACTACAGTGGTTTTATTACATTATTACATTATTAGTGACAAAATGGTTTTTTTTTAAATTTTTTCAAACTTGTAGCTGCGTCTGTCATCCGAAAGTACATTTTTGTGGTGTGAGAATCTATTGATGTATTGTATATATTGGAGTATATATGAAGAATGCAAGATCTTCAACCTTCAAATCTTTTCCTACTCCTTCCATGGTATTTACTTCACCGGAATTTATTTTCAAAATCTGTACCAAAGTTTTAAATCCAACATTTTTTTTAATTACGTACTGATATTTTTTATGAATTTCTTTTTCTACTATTTTTAAATAAAAAGCCATAAAAGAAACATTGATTGATCAAATGGTTATATATTGTGGAATAATTTGCTTTATCTAACTTTTCGAAGATCAATAAAAATAATTTACCTGGTGAATTTTTATCAAAAATACCAATAATCACATTTACAACATATCGGTCTTCGCAATATGTTGTTTCATTTATAGAAACAAATATTTTTTTGCTAATTACATTATTCCTAATATTTTTTATTATTTCTTTATAGCAATCGGTTAAATATTTTTTTGCGTAATGTTGACTCGTATTACGAATTATTGTATTTTTTACTTTGTGGAAAGGAACATTGGCTTTTAAAAACACTATGCGCATACCAATGTAATATCATGATTTTTTACCATCCACATTGGAAAATAGATGTTGTGACTGAGTTTGCTTCTGTCGATCAGCTGTACGAATATATTTTGCCATCTTTAAATGTTGTTCGACGGTAAAACGACGTTCACATCTGACTTTAGCTTCACATACCTTACAATATATTACCAAGCCATCCGTAGTAAAAAAAATCATTTCCAAACTCGTTTACAAAACTTTTAAAACAAATTGAACAAGATGACTTAGATTTAGGTATTTTAAAATAAAATTGAAGCTGACCACGGATAAATATACTCGTTACGACTGACTTTTAAGACGGAAACACGGCGATGAAAGTCGTATTAATACATCGTCTGGTCTTCGCCACATACGCATGGCACGAACTGAATACAAAATGAATACGTTATCTAATATTGTTATAAATATTAGGGACAAATAAAATTTAAAAATATTATATGGATAGGTAAGTGATACAATTATAAATAATACTGATAAATTGTATAGTTGTGAGTTTGTTAATTTAAATTGTTTTTAAAAAATTCAAAAATGTAATGAAATATGCATTTATATTCATAAAATCCCAAAATATGCATTTAAAATGAAAAACCATTAGATATGCAAAAATATACAAATTAAAAAAACAACATTATTTGATTCAGTAGAACATGAATAAAATTTGTGTCCAGGTCAGCATTAAATTGGATAAATAAAAAAAATATGCAATTGCATACACATCCGAGCACTAGTTGTAATCATTGACATTCAAAATAAAAAAATTAACTGCGTAAATGTAGTTTATTATATTATAAAAATTGTACATTAAAATGATTTACTCAAAAAGAATAAAATTTTATTAAAATTCCAATGAATGCTATTATGCATAATAATACTTTTATGTATTAATAATGTATTAGTTTACCAATACCTATTGTATTATAAATTAAGACATGCGTATTGTTTTACACAAATCAATATTTATTTTTGGTAAAGTTATTTATTGTATATTTAATGTTTTTTTGGGGTTTTGTTATACAAAACAAAATACCGTAATAAATATTACAATGAAATCTCTCTTAACGAATACCTCTAAATAGTTTACATGTTTTGGGGAACGGGGAGATTTTCACTAATTTTTTATTGGAAAATCTCTAAATATCGAACGTTTTTATGGAATTTTAATTTTTGATTTTAATCATTTCTATTGTAAATTTAGAAAAATAATTGTGGAATGTCTTGATAAAATTCTACACTTGTAAATTGTATTTTATTGATATTACCCATTATGTATTATTAAACTGTTATACATTATCTTATCCGTCCAGTAATGGAAATTTTATGACGTTGATGTTGGAAGTCTACAAATAGCATTGGCAGCAGGGAAGGGTTTATGTAAAAAAATTTCTTCTATCGAAATATAGAAATTATTTTCTAGCACAAGGAATTAGAAAATGTACTAACTTACGAAATGACTTCGCGTCAAACTACGAAACAATCTAAAGTAACTGATTTTTTTAATATATGTTTTAATTTTTATATAATAATAATTAATATAAGAAATATTATAAGATTATCGTCGTAAATACAAAAAGCATGGTCAAAAAAAGTTGAAAACGCCTTATACCTAATAGTTCAATTATTAATTTAATATCATATGTACTCAACTTAATAATAGTTTTAAAAAATTATTGTACAATAAATATTTAGTTACAAAATAACTTGTTTGATTTATCAAACTTTGCTATGAAATAATTTTTAACTTATTAATAAAATAAAATAATCACTATGTTATATTTGGAACTTTCTGGTGGTAAAAGAGTTATTTAATAAAATATTTCATAAATCCTACTGCAAAAACAAAATTATTGGTCTAATGCAAATTTTATTTATTACTTTATTTTTAGGAAATTATACTTAAAATTTTTTTATATAAAAGACTTAGCTGTATTTTCAACCATACGTCAAATATATTAGAATAATGTTCCAAATAAAAAAAAAATCTGATTATTTAACAAAATTATCGAAAATTTAAGGATTTACAAGAAATAGTTAAAGGATATTTTTTAGAGGTAATAAAAGTTGTACAATTAAAATTATATTTATTTTTATGTGGATTTAATATTTAATAATTTTTAATAAATATTAATTGAATTTGAAAAACCAACAATCTACTCTCATCAGTCATTTTCAACCCTTTTGCGGCACGTTGAAGGGGGTGAGATATCATCAAAAAATTTAACCTAAATTATTTTCTTATACTAATGAACAGAAGGGAAGGCTGCTTGAAAAGAAGCATTTAATTAGTTTTTTCTTCACCTATATGCTTACCTATATATATTACCTATGTGGTCCCTAATATATATAAATATATATATATATAAAACTGGTATATAATATAATATATCATATATACAACACTAACGTCTAGAACTATTGCATTTTTTAATAGCCAATTTAAATTAATTAAATTGAAATTTTTTTTTTTTAAAATATGTTAAAAAAAATTTCATGTAAATATGATAATGTAATTAATATGTGCAAATATAGTTAAACCTCTACATACTCTAATTACTTTTGATTTTTCCTAATGTTGCAAATAGCATTTAAATAATAAAACTGTCTAAACTAATAAATCACAAATGAAATATGAAATTATTTCGTTATTGTTTAACTGTGTAAGACATTTAAATTAACTGGAAATCGAGTTTATGAATATTCCAACAACAATTCTTGAATGTTTATAAATAAATAATAATATACCAGAGATATTATTTTATCTAAATTGTATTTTGAAAGTTTTACATTGAAGTTATATTGTTATTTGGTGCTCATTATATATTTTTTTTTCTATACTATTAATAAATAAATTATATTATTTAAAATTAAATCATATATTCTCAATATCCATAGAATATAATTTTCAATTTACACTAAATTTCGTATACAGTAAACTATATTACATTGATTAGTTTTGTAATGACCAAATAATACACCAAATGATGGAATTCGAATTTTTAATATATACTTATTTATTATTTTTTTTCGACTTGTTTCGTTAAATTATTTAGGTATCGCAATTAAATAAATACGATTTGTTTTTAAAAAAAAGATCATTATACGGAGAATATTTCATGTCATATGAACTTTTGGCTAATAAATATAGAGTAAAAGTGTTCCAATTTAAAGTTTTATCTTTAATTAAAATCCAATACAGTTTTTAGTAGTTACTTAACACAATTAAATCGAACACGTAAGCAATTAGTATGATTATTTTTAATACATTTTATATGAACGATTTAAACTTCAAGAATCATATACTGGGGCTGGTTAACCTTGCTTAAAATTTAAACAAAATCCTTAAAATGCCAGTACTCCACCAATGATGGTACATCTACGAGGAACTCTAACTGGCTTTCGCTAGAATATTGATCGTGGCCCGTAATATGTCAGTACTAGATCAGCACTAAGCTACCAGTGCTGGTTTTCTAGTACTGGTGTAGTACTGGATAAAATTATGGCCAGTACTGTATCCGTAATGGTCAGCCAACTGCTACAGTATTGAGCCTTTTGTGAGTGTCGGTAAAACTCATAATTTTCCGATTGGAAGTAATATACCTAGGCATGTACATCATAGTGTCACAATAGTTTTCCGTATGATCACATGTGATTTATTATAGAGGTAATGATCAGGGCTGGGCAAGTTAACGACTTTTTTAACTTGTTAAGTTATTTTAAAATAATAAAGTTAAGTCAAATTAAAAGTTCCTTTTATTTTTTTCGTTAACTCGTTAAGTTAAAAGTTAGCTTTGAAAAAAAAAGTAATTTAACTTAGTTTAAAGTTAAAATTTTCTAATTTGCAAAAATAAAAAATTGCACACATAATATTAGTTTTTTTACGTTCAAGAAAATTACTGGGGAAATTAAAAACGATACATAAAAGTAATAACTAGCTATGAAAAAAACCAAAAATCAAAAATAATAAACTTTCACAGAAATATAATAAGCTAATAAAGTAATAAACTAATAATAATATATAATTAATTCTAACGAGATGTGAACAGAACACATGCTAGTTGAATAATGAAATAAAATTGGAAATTATACCACAGTTGTTTTGTTATTAATCTTCCATCGACATTAGCTCTTATGGTATTTACTATTTTCACAGAATATTCATCGGATTTCCATGGGTTTGTATTGTTAATACAAATATAATGATAAAATATAACCCATATAATGACTATTAAAGTTATTTTTCATATTATTTTCGTCTACAGGAAATTCATATTAAAATAGTAAATTATAAATATACCAAGAACCTCATTTAATAATTTGCATTATTCTTTACACTAAAATTAACTTATTTAGCTACTTTTAAATAAAATTAACGTTTTAACTTAATTTTAACTTTTAACTCGTTAATGCTCAGCCTTGGTAATGATTATGAAGTTTTAACGTTTTCAACACTGATCATACTTGGTTTTCGAATTTTTAAGTTCGCATTTCTCACCGTAACGTACATAAATCAATACCCGTAGAAAACATTTATATTATTATCTGTCCTAAAGTGTAGTTATTAGGTGTAACGTATAGATATTATGCGTATATTATAAATCACCAACTGATTCATTTTATGAAAACTCCATAATTTCAACCTCACACATAACTAATATAATTACTTATTAATTAATAAATTCAATTATTTTCCCTTGCACTTGAATATTTCTATTTTAAAGGATTTGTTATAATAGATCAATCTTTCCGCTTCGATTTTTACACACCCAAATATTCCACATTGTCCTTATTATGTATTAGGCATATATTTTTTATTCTAATTTATAGAAAGTTATTCAACATTAAAATAGTTTTTCATAACGTAAAAAATGTATATACATCTGTAATACATATATATATATATATATATATTTATACGTAAAAAGAAGGGTTGGTTATGGGTCACCTTTAAGTGTCTCTTTTATCTGAAAATTGTATGCAAAATTGTGAAGCCAATAATATTATTAACAATAAAATACACCATCCATATATAAAACATATTTCAGATATGTTTGTGACACTTTCGTTTTATTTAGAGTTTTAAATAAATAAACAGAAAATTTAGTTAACTACTTAAACAAAATAATAAAATAATTAAATTTACACTAGAAATAAAAATAAATAATAAATACAATTTCTTACATCTAAAAATTTTCATAACAATGAAAAAAATTTAACTTATTATTCAGAGTAAACATACACAGATGCATACTATAATATCACATGGTTCTAACCACCCTTATTCTTAAAAAATACCATTTTTTAATTCAATATTTTATTGGCTTGAACGTATTCCATTAAATAAACGTAATAATCAATATTATCAATATTATCCAAAATATAGCTCATAAAAATTTCAATTAAAATACCATTAAAAAAAAACCCATTAAAAAGTTACACAACTCACTAAATAATACTGTTAACTATTGTACAATCAAATATCAAAATAATATGTCTAACGAATTCTTTAAAAATTTAAACAATGTTACTGATAATGTAAAAATCGCTTTTAAACCAATTTTAATTTAATCAAATATACAAATAATAGAACCTACAAATAACTTCACAAAAAATCACCCTTCTTTTTAAAAATGCTAATATATATATATAAATTTAAATGTAATTGTAATACGTTTTATAATATTAAGACAAATATAAATTATAAAACACGATATAAAGAATACATTTCTGAAGTAAAATTAAAAATGATTTTGCCTTATTCAAATTTTGCTAAAAATGTTTTAGAAAATAATTATAATGTACATTTTAATAATAATACAGGTTTAAAACTATTAAATACTTAAAATGGCAATTAGATTAATTCAGTTTTAGAAGATTTACACGTATACAATAAAATTAAAATAAATAATTTTAGTAACAACCGATTCTACAAATAATATCTGATATTAATTTAAGAAAATAAATCAAATTAAATATATCAATATATTTTTGATAGTAAAAAATAATAATTAAAGTATTTATATTTCTTAGCATATCTATGTTTTTAATAAGAACTCATTTTAATTAATCTGTCCTGTTAAAATAAATTATATCTATGTAACAGGACCATTTTTTCTCAATGTATTGTTTCCCTTATTTTTGATAGTCAGTCTCAATCTTTTGACTTTTAGTAATTTATTCGACGACTAATTTTCAGTTCGAAACCGGTCACACGATGTCCACGTTTTAATACATTAGGCTAAAAATCTTATTTACTTAATTATTTCTACGTATAAACTGTATTTAATTAAGAGTGTAAAACATTTACTGTTTTTTTGTATTTCATTGTTGAAATACGTATTTGATCGACGAGTACACAGTAACTAAATCCATTCGTAAGCAATTTTGTTTAAGAACATTTAATCGTACACATACATTTGTTTCTGAAATAGTTTGCAAAGCCATTGCAGACAGTAATAATCATTTCCGACTCTGGGAATATTAATTTTTTCCTCGTACTCCCCAGAAATTATTTTGCTCGTGATTACTAACCGCATGTTCATCGAATATGTGACAAGTACTCGTATAACTTCTCTGAAAACAGATTTCATGATAAGCTTTGGGCTAATTAAAATAAATCCTGCGTTGTATGACTCGCTTTTAGTCACACATAAACATATCAAAGAGGACATCTCATATTATTACTACGTGACGTATAGCATTTGTATCAATTAAATACGAGCCGTCTGCGTAACGCTTACAGTAAGTGAAGTTCACTAACAATACAACCCGCGATTTAAATAACAAATGATCAATACAAAAAAAGCGAGAATAAAAACATCGAAAGCTGTACCGTAAATAATAATCATGTTTGTACAAATAGGAAGCTTTATTTTCTTAGTACAAGTATTTTTTGTCGCAATTATTTTCAGACATACGCATTATATATTTAGTATTTGTAGTGTTTTAGATGGATTTGAACGATTACGTTTAAAATATCGAATACTAATGTAAATTTATTAATTAGATGATTTTATTATGACGATTGTTTTCACTTGCATAGGAAACGCTTGGGAATAATTTATAAATCAAAAATGTTAAAATTTTTATACGATTTAAACAGTTCATATTTGATTACGTATCTCACAGTGATTTATAAAATGGTAAATTTATATCTTATTTGATTTGTATAGTTTTTAAAAATTGGACTTTTATAAATGAATCAATATAATATAACTTACATATGTTGAACAATAAAAAGAAGTGAGAGTCAACGGTGGGAGGTGGTGCAGGGATGGATGAATAACATGACTGTACTTGTCTTTTAAAAACTTAAAATCAATTGTTTCCGAAAAATAAATACAGAGTGAAAGAGGTCGAGCGTATCAGTTTATATTTCTGGAGATAATTGATATTTAAAAAGAACTACATTTCTTAAAAAGGTAAGTTGAACTTCCACAAAAAAAAAAAAAAAAAAAAAAAGGCATCTGAAATTCGCGAAAAACCAAAATTTCAAGTTTTTATAAACAATTCAAATTCAATTAAAATAATTCAAAACTTTGAAATGTTTTTAATAAATAACTAAAATTGTATAATAAAATTCGTTGGAACATCCGACTTCGTCAACATTTTATTTTTAAAAGCTTATAAAACTTTTTCACGAGTTTCTAGATTGAAAATCATTTAGTACATATTGAACATGTTTTGAATTATAGACAGTAAATCATGAAGCAGGTTTTTGTGATTCTTATCGTTTCGTTTAATGTATTATTTAAACGCTCATAATGATAAATATAAAATTAGTCTCAAGTTTTTTTATTTATCAGTAATAGATATATTCGAGGAATTTGATATTACATTATGAAGACTTTAAGAAAATTAAAATTATTTTATCGATATTTCTGAAAAAAAAAAAAAACTAAGAAAACATGACATTTTTAACATTTTATATTAAGACAAAAATATCTTTTGGAAATCGTACTATCTATAGTGAACGGTGATAAAGATATTCAATAAAAATTCACTAAAATTTCAATTCTCTACTGTAATTATTTTTTGAGTTACGATGAGGATAAAAATTCGATTTTTTCGGAAACCGGTATGCTCTGTATTTTGTGTTTTTTTTTTCTTACAGCTTTTTCTTGGGTTTTCGCAGCTATAAAACAACATTTTTGGAACAATCGTAAAATTACTCTCCTTCAAATAACCATCTATGAATCATTTCCTATAATTTAATTCTTGTTTGATGATGAATGGAATACTTATTCTAGTTGAAATCGAATATAATCATAAACAAAAAAATAATACAAATTTTGGTAATAAAAATATTCAGAATTTAAAATATTAATTTATGTACATTGCAAAAATGTACTAAAAACTTGTTTCAACCTGTTTCTTTTATTATTTTCTAGGTATGCATAGTGGAGAAAAAAGATTCACGACAGATGTACGCAATGAAATACATGCAGAAGAGTCGTTGCATTGAAAGGGATGCCTTAAAGAACGTATTAAGGGAAATGGAAATACTGACTACACTTGAACATCCATTTTTAGTAAATTTATGGTTTTCGTTCCAAGGTACTTTTATTTAATTTGATCATCAAAACTTAAGCGAAGACTAAACTATTAAATACATTGATATTATGATTATATGATTCCATGATTCCTATGATTCCATAACTGAAGACCGAATTCCGTCCCGGAGGCGGAGCAACTATGTCTGAATTCCGTCCTACTACCTGTAACTATGGTATATTTGGCAGTAATATTTTCCTTCGCATTTTCTCCAGGCTTTAGGACTGGCAGCTTTGCTGGCATGTTTAAAAATGTAAAATCCGGCAAAACAGCCTTATTTATTTATTATTAATATACGGAGCAAAAAAAAACTCCATTTACAGTATATGCCATTTATGTATAAATATGACGGTCATATAAGTATTTTAATAAATTTAAGAGTATAAGTATAATACATGTTATGTGTAATTAGTATTTAAATTATTTATTTTTTTTTTAATTATTATTTTTTATATTTGAAATAGGCTGGTAAAAACTTAGACGACACCTGATACACAAACTGGTGTCGATCTATGTTTCGACTTTTCCAAAGCATCATTTAAAAAATGTTCTCTCTCCAATGTTATTTTTGATTTTGGCAATGTACTCCGCATTTTGATATAAATTAATTAACACAAAAAAACGATACGCATGATGTCAGGTGAAGCCTCTTGAAGTTCTATAAAAATTGAACTTATATTAATACCGTCCAAAACTAGTCCGGACGGAATTCGGTCATTTTCAGCAACCCGGGATGGAATTCGGCGATTGCCGATTAGTCAAGGAAGATTTGTTGTAAAAATATTTCAAAAAATGTCAAAAAAAATTTAAAATCATTATTATGGAAAAATAATCAAAGTTAGAATTAACAATTAATAATACTCGTATTCATATTTAACAAAATCTTTATAAAATACAAATACACATTAATATATTTTTAGTTAAATATTTACTTGAACTCTAATCTGAATTTATTTTTGAAAAATTTTCTTGTACCCATGAAAATTATAAAAATGAATATAACGCATTGAGTTCCATTATCTAGGTCAGTTAATTAGATCAAGTATTTTATTATTATAATAATTATTAAAAACATTTTTTGCTCTTTAGTTTTTAAGTGTTATTAAAATTTTAAAAATATATTGGAATATTACTTATTTCATTTAAATAATAATATTATATTAAAGAAATTTAAAACTTTGGATAAACTCTAGTTTAAAGAAAGGAATAATAATAAGAGAAATAACTTTCTGAACAAACAAAAATGATAAATTTATTTAACCATCAACAATGTTCCTTACGTTCCATCACATTTCCATGAAAGCCATTTACGTCATTAACTAACGTTTATGTCTAATTTTTTCAATCCCTCCAATTATAGGACGTTTATAAGCACATATAAAAACATCTATTTTAGAATATAAATAATTATATCAATGTTTAATTAATCGATGAATAATCATGCCACTTATGACAATATTTAGAAACATCGATTATGAAAATGTATCGCTTAAGCCCTTTTTAATTTTCTTACCATCGATAGTATTTATCTGTCTATCTATCTAGCTATATTATTGTGATTACTGAGAAAAATGGCTAGGTAAATAAATATTCATTTGAAAGTTTTCAAATAACAATAATATGAATAATTAAAAATAAATAAAACTCAGAATAAAATAAACAGTATACATAATAATAAGAAAAATATCGGAACAACACGTTAATTTTTTATATTTTTTTAAATCTCATTGAAAACCGCAAAAAAATCGTTTGCATTGTTTGTTTTAATACGTGCGATTTTCAGTGAATTGTCAATACAGCCAGTTATAAGCTTATAGGCATTTGGTGTCCGAAAAAATTATTTTAATTACGTATGTTGTTATTTAAAATACAATTCACTTAAACATAATCAACTAAATAAATAATCCACTTATTATATGAATAAAGAACATCATTTTCTAATATTTGTACTGTTATCGATGTACATTACAAAATACTTAAGTGAAATATTATATAAATAATTAAATAAATATTACATTAAAGAGACATTTAGTATTAGGCTATTTTATACTATGAAAATATATTGAAAGTAGAGGATAATAGTGTATGTATACCGATTTTATTTAACCCTATAAATTAACTGAAATTAATAATTTTTGATTAATTGACGGAAAGCAAAATTAAAGCTGCCTTTGTTAGGCTACTTGTTAATTGAAACGTAAAATTCATTTATTGTATTTTATGTATATTAAAAATATCGTACAATGTGTTGTTAACTTAATAGGGTACTGAAATTATAATATTTTAATAATTTGGGACTTTTTTTTTCAAATGGAAAAAGTATTTTAAATCACTTCAAATATATAAGGTCTTTAACAGTATTCGAATATTTGTACACAATATAAAAATCAATATAAAAGTATAACATATTAAACCGTTGTTTTATATCAAAATAGCTATTGAAATGGATGGACTTTTTATTTTTTATTTACACTTCGTTTAATATAAATGAGATTACCGTGTTTTTCCAGACGAAGAAGATCTATTTATGGTGTCAGACCTGCTATTAGGAGGTGACTTGAGGTACCATTTGGGTCAAGACGTTCAGTTTAACGAAAACTCGATCAAACTGTTTGCATGCGAAATTGGGTCTGCGTTGGAATATTTGCAAAGCGAGCACATTGTTCACAGGTAGGTACGCGCACATTATATTCTACATGCGCATTGTACGATTTGAAAAAAAAAAATCAAACGAACCACGTTTTTGCTATTAAGTTCATTTAGAGATTGGGTTGATTCGTTTTTATTTTATTTTAAAATCTGATAAAAAAAAAGGTCATGTTTTTTAACACAAAACCGCAATGTGTAGGTAGGTCATAACTGTGTACTCCGAAAATCAAAGGACGAAAAATAACGAAATAATCAAAAAAGCCATTATAATAATAACGGGTGTGCTCTCAACACGCAGAAACGTAGTCGCCAATCAAGTATTTCAATATGATCAGAATTGAAAAAAATTAATATTACACCTCGCGCGGACAGTAAAATTTCACCGCGATACGGTATCCTTTCCGAGTGCTTATCATGTCCCTCTCGTGCTGAACATGCCACTACCATTAATATATACGTGCGTGTACGTATAATAATGTATCATGACTACCGCCTGTCACGTTTCGCGAGAGCACACGAAACATATTAATATAAATGTACCTAAGTATGCTGCGACAACATTATGCAGTTCGCATCAAACGGGAGATGTACCATGAATTTTTTTTCCCTCTATCGGGGTCCCCTTCCCCGACTTTCTCTCTCTATCTGTCTCTCGTCTACCTTACTCCGTCGCAGCTACATAAGTTCCCATTGTTTGAGTTTCTCGGTCATTAACTTTGAACACAACCCCTTTAGCAGTAGTACAGTTATAATCTCGCAGTGTATCTCGTTATGAACGTGTGTGCGTGCGTGCGTGTGTGCTATACATTAAGCGTATCATATGTGAGGGCTCCAATACCATTTGGACGTTTCGCTGTACATTCGTCCGAATAAACCATACACACATAAATAGTGTACGCGTTATGTTATGCGTATATACGTGTCTTCCGTTGATGTGTACGTATACGCTCCGGCCGCAGGGTCCGACGTCGGGTCGGAAACACATTTCCGGTGGCCGACGTGGTTAGGCATACATTTCTGTATAGTTACGCGGCGTCCAACCCATTGTACAACGGCTCGGGACACCATCGCGTATCCTGCGACTGCTTATGACTTGGAAAAATAAAAATAATATATGTCTCGCTCGTTCGAATGAAACAATAATAACCTATATGAACGACTTGTACGATGACCTAATGACGACTGAGACGTCGTGTCGGGTAAAAAAGTTGCACAACCATATGGAAAATTTCAAAGTTTTCCAAAGGTTTTTAGTACAAGCCATCGATAAAAAAAATCCGTATATAATTACGAATGGATCGAGTGTCAACCATCGCATAGGTGACCAACTCACAAGTTTTCGACCGCACGAATAGGCGTTAAAACCGTTGGTGGATTATCTAATCGTTTTATGATGACACACTTGCGGCTCGTGTTGTATGCCAATGAAAATATAAAACTCTAAATGGATAATCGTAAATAAGATTTCGGTAAAAAATAAATCAAACACATATTGGATATGTGTTATATTTCGTACATTATTCGGCACCAATAGGTATTTAACGAAGGTCGACTAATCAAAAAAATGTACAAGCCGAATACGAAATCTCGTCAAACATTATACTAAATAATAATTAGTGAGAACCAGTTGTAATAACTTAATTTGTTTTGTTTTGCTTCATTTGACTAAATGGTGAATAATTAGATACAATATTGTACAAGAACAAATCCGTAAATAAGATTTCGAAATACCATCGACCTCAGTTTGATGTTGAACTACTTGAACCCTATAATATGCTATCATAGTTTCACTAACATTTTCTTACTCCGTCTTTTTATCAAATCATACAGCAGTTGTTAATGTATATATTCTTATCTACTATGTTATTAAAAGTACAAAAAGTACCCATGAAATAATTACTACTTACCATTATCATCAATTTAGAAATAAAATTTTTTTCAAATATTATTTTCAGTGTTATAATAGTATACGAATTTGCCCTGAATTCCTCTTATGCTATTAGGAAACAAGTAATAACTTTTTCACTTATTTTTACTCGCATAATGCAGTTTCCTCGAAAAAAAATCTCCAACATTTTGTTCATGCGATAAGATTTATGTATCATATAGTGAGCTCTTTGGTGACCGCTAATATAATCATTATATAGCAATCATTTATCGTCAACGAATTGAAAAACACGTGATTTATCCGTTTTGATTTTTTTCTTTTTTCATGCTATCTATCCATTCCTCACAGGGACATAAAACCGGAAAACATACTGCTAGACGAAGAAGGTAAGAGGGTATATTTGATTTACAGAGGTGATAGCCCGTAAGTATACACACATATATATATATATATATATATATATATATACAATATGATGTACATTAATGTGCAAAGGAAGGTCGTCCTACAACCGTACTTACACTAAAAGCAAACATTTTCCCAAAGTATTAATTTTTCTCCGAACACTGCGTACGTGAGTTTGTGACCCTCCATGAAACCGAATGGTATTGTGAAAACTTGAAATGAAATATTTCTAACTGACATTTTATCGTTGTTCAATTCGACGTTTGGTCAATTAGGACTACCTACGTGCGAAAATCTCGTATCGGTATTTTTTCTAACTCTTAAATTTCTTCTGCGAAACATACAGAGTTAATACAGATTATAATTCACCACGCTATTGATGTAATAATTATTTCTCACCCGGATGCTACGACAAAATCTTCTATTCATAAATCAACATATTACTACACACAATACTACGGTAATAAATTATTTTTATTTTTCCACATAATTGCATTTAATTATGCACAATCCGTAATTCGTATAAGTGAACAATCGTCAACTCTACGTACAATATATTCAAACACTTCATACTAGTTCGTGAAATTTGAAAAACTTTCGCTAAAATGATATGTAATATTTTTTCTGAGCAGTGAATTTATAAACAAGTATAAAAATAATTTGATGAGCTAAATATACAATGCTTTAAAAACTATTATATTATTAGTCGAATAAACCATTTGACCGTAGTATATGCACGTTATTACCTATATTGTTGTAATAACGTTTAAACATTTCAAAATTAAAATAAAATTAAAAAAAAATATTGGTAAGAAATTTTCAGCGATCATAAATCAAAACCGTTACAATACTTTTATAAGCTTATTAGTTAACATATTTGTACGTTTAATATTTTTGTTTTTAATACATAGGTCATGCACACATAACTGACTTCAATATAGCAGCTACACTACGTGATAAAAAACTAGCATCATCGTTATCCGGCACCAAACCTTATATAGGTATTTATAATTGATGCATTTTAAATATTTAACAGTTTTAGCATGTCGTAGTAAAAAATATAGGAGGTCAATATTTATATATTTACATTCGGAAATTATTATCCGTTTGTATTTAGATATTTTAGTACTAAGAAATATCAATAACAATGCATCCAGGACACGGAAAGTATAGGACACATTAAAATAATAATTTGTCATGAAAAGAAATATTATACACATATTGTGTGTTATATATACACATTCTTAGTTAGTTTTGAAATGGTTGAAAGCAATGTCATACCTTGAGTCCACTTAAAAAAACATTATATTTTTGACTTACGATTGCATTTCATGAAAAATTTAAATATCAATTTTAATTTTAAAATGAAATAAATTATTGTTTGCACACTAATGTTGTTAACTATGTATACTCATTTATATGTAAATCCAAAGTAGTTAGTTGATTATTTTTTTTATTTGATGGCTATTCGTATACACCTAAAATATACATTAGACTAAGTTGTATAAGTTCTAATACAACGTTGATAAATTAAACCAATTGTATGTACTATTTAATTTAAAGTGACGAAAAGAGTGCAGTGTTAATATTGAATAGGTACCAGAATATACAGGGTTAATATATAAACATTTAATCCGTTGTTAAACATCAAACCGATACGATTTTATGCAAGAATTCGATTTTTATGTTAAGTTTTTTCAAATTATAAGAGAACACTCGGGTCCAGAATAGGGGTTGGATCAAATTTTTAAATAAATTTTAGTTAGGCCTCTTCGGCTTGTATAGTGATATAGGAATATCGAAAAACGAAGGTTACAGTAATATAAGAGAATAAATAGTAACAAAACGTATTTTTTGAATAATTTAAGGACATGAGCATGTAATATTATGGTCCTGAATAGAAAATAGTTTGTTTAAATCATTCAAATCTAATGGAAAATTGGTTTTCTATTGATCCGTTCTCGTTGATCTTTTGGTCCAGATCGTATAAAGAAAATAACGCATGGTTAAAATTGAAACCGGGTTTTTCGATTTCTTACTTCAGTTGAGTTATCCATTGGTGTTGAAATTTATTTTTGTTTTGATAGTAAAAATAATCGTATTTGAAAAATAATTCATACTTGTATTTAACTCAATACGATCATGATTTTTTATTTCAAACTATTAAAATAAATACTAAATAAATATAATAGTGTACAGAAAAATATTTGAAAAAACTACATTATATGAAACAATCTTACTTTCTTTCGAATTATGTGCTTACTACTTAAAAAATTTATATTTTAACTATGTTATCATTGTTGAAAATAAAAGCTTCTTTATAACATGGTGTACTAATTTGATGATTTCTTATGAACAGCCCCTGAAGTTTACTTGTGTTCATTGGGAGAATGCGCCGGTTACTCTTATCCCGTGGATTGGTGGTCACTAGGTGTGACGCTTTACGAGGTAATGTCGAGATGTCGACCGTACGACATTCATTCGGGTACAACGCCGAGAGAAGTTCGGTCAATGATGATGAATTCGACTTCATGCACGCCAATACCACCGAAATGTTCAGAACAATTGAGTGTATTATTTCAAAGAGTAAGATTTTTTAATATACTAATGCACCTGAAACGCTTATTAGAACCGTACAGTATAGAATAATATTGATGAAAAACGTATTCTATTAACTTTATCATGCGGTATTAATACTGGCATACGAATAAATAAATCATACGGTAAAAATTCAAATCTCTATGATGTAGGTAATAAAAAGTATTTTAACTAAAAACAATAAAGTCAACTAACAAATTGAAGTAATGTTAATACTTTAGAAGATACTAAAATAGTTAATGGACGTATGCACAATAGTATCTATAAGAAACAAGAGATTAATACGTATAAATTACTAAAATTTATTTAAAATTTGAATATGAATAAATAGTACAGTAAGTTATTTTATTAGTACAATACTAAACCTGGTACAGAAATATACTTTGTATAGATCTATGTCCAAGGACACATTTTATTATTTTTATTAAGTTAAAATGTAGTGTCATGAGGATATTATTTCTGGTTCAATATTTTTCGAAGTAGAAGAGTGATCAGTCATGGATGGAGTTACTAAAAACTTTAGAAATTAATGGGTGGTTATGGGTATTGTCACGAAAGTTTTTTCGGATTATATATTGTCCTTAATTTTAAAACTTGATGTAGTCGTATTTAGTTTTCACCGAATTCACCAAGAAAAAATGTGATTAATTGAAGTTTTATTGATTGAAATTACTTTTGTATGTTCATTCTAAATTTCATTAATTGAAGAAACTGTATGGGTTAATGGTGTACATCTTCTTATTGTTTTAGCTGCTGTGTATTAATCCAGAAGAAAGAATCACTACGGTTAAGAAATTAAAATCTGTACCGTGCATAAGTCGATACAATTTTGGAATGATATTAGAAAAACAAATTCGTCCCCCGTTTACGCCACCGGTAAGATACACAATGTATAATTTGACATTCAAGTTAAAATATACTATAAATTATATTATTACTGTTATTATTATTATTATTATTATTATTGCTATTTTACCGATTTTCTTACGAGCTGTAAAAGTTAATGGGGAGGAAACAAAAACCATCATCACTAAAACGATTAATTTTGGAGCACGGGAAATGAATACAGTAGTACTTCCGTATCGAATACATAACGTCCTGTTTCTATATTGTTACGTCTTAGCGCTGGGGTCATAATGAAATGTTGTCCAAAACGTCATGGCAGATGTCATTCTCGTACACTCTTCGTCTAAACGAGTAAAATTCATCGTTTCCTTAACAGCGATTTTGTTGTCACAGCAAATTCATAGTAAAACGATATAGCACATTTTGCGTTACTATTTTGTTAACACAACAATCGGTTGATACTTAATGATTTTTCATAGGCTTTACTATGACAACGAAATCGTTGTCAAGGGAAAACGGTGATTCATTGGTACTGCCTGGAAGACATATCCATTTGCCAATAGTGTATCCCGTGCACATGTCGATGACATGTGTCGCATCCGGCGTGATGTTTCGGATTTTATTCACGCGAAATTTAAAATAGCTATCTTATGACAGTATTACAGTATTTGATATTTGAATATTTTGATTACATACGAATGAGCTGTGAATCAATTATTAAAAGTATATTTTATAAAAATTACAAAAAAAACAAGAAGATACTTCAATACCAATCAATTACTATGACGTATTATCGTAAACTTCAACGTGAATAAACTTATGTAATTTCTTAATTTTCTGGTTTGCGTGTGACGGTAACGTTATATAACGGTGGGCTGGATAATAAATCAATATATTTTTGCACGGATATACAATCAACAGGAAATGAAACTGTGGGAATAATTTTACACTTGATTTTTAATTTGGTTGGACTGGCACGATAATTTAATCAAATTTTCATTATTTTAAGTATTACCGACGAAAAGTATTTGAAACACTTAAAATAAAAATCCGTTTAAATTTAAATACTATTAGAGAAAGATTAAAATGCGTTTTTTACCATATATTGTAATACGTTATGTATGTTTAATAAAACGAAATTATTCTTTATTATTAATTTATTGATTAACAAATACTATGCAACACTTAAATAATTCGTATTAAATACGAATTTTGCTGTCTTTTATACTGTTTGAACAAATTTTGTACATACAGCATAAAAGACAGCAAAAAGTGTCGTTGAACAACTGACCATCAATAAAATTGTAAATAGTATTATTTAAAATAAATACAAATTGTATTCTCATATGATAAGTATGTCAATAAAAACGATAAAGTTATTTATTATCTAAAAAAGGTCGACCATATTAAATTACATATTTTTATATGAAATTTATATAAATATAAAAATAATTTGATGAACACACGTATAAACGACGTTGAAACGTTGAAACGTTGAAATATTGAAACCGTAGCAGTTTTAAACGAAATTAAGGACTTAAACGTCTACGAAGCAATAGCGAAACAACGCTTAACGAGGTGACGTTAAACAAGGACTTACTGTATTTTTATAATATATTAATATAGTCAACTTTTAGAATCAATATTGATCAATAATAATTTTTAAGTAAACACTTTTTTAAGAGAAAAAAAAATTTTGATATAATTGTATATTTTAAGAGTTTTTTTTTAACTTATAATGAATACATTATTATAATTTAATATTTATTTTATTTAATACAAAAAAAAAATTAAATTAAATTAAAAAAAAGTACAAAATAAATGAAAATTAAATAGTCATGTTTTGAACAAACATTTTAAATTTTAAATCTGGAATATCGAAGACGTTATGAAATTCTTGTTAAACAATATTATAATACGTATATAATTTTTTAAACGCTTGCCATAATATAATAAACCGAATACTTAGTTAAGTGTGTTGAAAAATTATACTTTACTTTAATTATACTCAACAGATAATTAAGTGTAAACAGAAGTTATATATTATAACGTAACCTAACCGTAAGTTTATAATAACAGTCTTTATTTTCCACAGAATAATTTAAATAATTAATTAAGTAAGTAAATAAGGATAACTTGGGCGCAGAACCGTAGCAGTTAAAATTATAAAATATTTAAAAATTATAATATTATAATCGTAATATTTCCATAAAGAAAATAACAACCTTTATACAGTTATCGAGCGTACCAGCATAAAAATTCTTTGCGAAAATACATTTGAATTTCTCTAGCTTCAAATAGTATATTTGATGTTAGTTAACGAACCGTGAACCTGGTTTGACAATATTATATTATACAGACATCAGTCGTTGGGAATGTTACAGCTATCGCACGCGTATTTCCGGTTGACATTCAGGACCAGTATAATTATAATATTTAAACATAACGATTCACCGTTTACAGAAGGATAGGCTGAACTGCGATCCGACGTTTGAATTGGAGGAGATGATTGTCGAGCCAAACCCATTGCATAGAAAACCCAGGCGGTTGGCCAAGCAAAGGTCGTTGAGGACCTCCATGACGATCGAAGTGAGTAAACTATTTTAGAATGATTTTTAAACCCAATTATTGGAATACAATTTATTCGACTCATTTTCGTTTATTCCATTTAATTATACATTCATACATTTATTGGTAGCTTATAACGCGCAATGAAACGTAAAAACTATTTTCAGTAAAACAATTATAGAAATAAAAAAAATTAAAAAAAAGTAAATTATAATTTTTTTTTTCCATTTTACAATGAATTATTTATTTATTTGTAATATTAATTTTGTAATAACCACAACAAAAATAAATAATAGTTACTAAATAATAATAATAAAAATGGAAATAATATTTAAAAACATTTTAAATTTCAATAAATAATTCTTATAATAGTTTTTTTTTATTTTTTATATAAATTTAAATTCATGCCTCTAAATTGGATTTAAAAATTACCCTTTGTTCAAACATTTCTTTTTGACAGTTTGTTGTATTTCAGTAAATTTATTATTTATTATTTGCGTAAAAAAATAATGTTTCGACGAGACCTGAGGACGAAAGTGTTGAATTATATGAAAATAATTCAAATAATTTTTATTCGAATAATTTTAAATATTTATAGTAATTTTTAATACAATTGTATCTAAATGATGTTCTCTACTCTGTGCGTAATTGATTCCGTTCTGTTCGCGTGCAGGATACTGAGCTGAGCAGACAACTTCAACATTTTAAATGCTATAACCGAGAAAAAGAGCTGGAGAGGCGGGAGATGGAACGTAAGGAACACGACTGGGAGCAAGAGTTGATCAAAGCTATGAACGCGTCGACAATACCGGCGATGTGAGTATTAACATTTTATTTCAATTCGTAAAACTCAAAAAATATCGAACGACTCGATAAAAGTTTAATAACTACGACCACAGCGTCTTCGTCGTTATTTTCCTGACCAACTGAACGATTTACTCTAACATTTTCGGCTCGATTCAACAACTATATTTTAACCACGAGATATAAGTAGCTAATATTAATTAAGCGTGTGTGGTAATTTTATTTCTATACAATTTAATAAAGCAACTATTGAAAATGTACGCGAGTTCCGACATCCAATCAGAGATGGCTAGACATTTTATTGTATGATTCACTAAACAACCAACAATTATGGGTGGGTGTTATTTTAAATGGACGTTTACTATTGCACTTGGTAACCGGTATGTAAGTATGAACGTGCTAATTTGATGAACAAGTAATAATCAAAACAATCAGATATTATACACGTAGATAAAATAATAGCATTAACTATAAAATAATTAATGCTATATAAAATAAATAGATTGTATTTATAATTATATTTTATAATATAAATTTATTATATTATTTCTTATATATTTATAATTATGTTATAAACAATATGTAATAATGAAAGCATAGTTTTTGGAATGTAATTTCTTTGTAGATGGGTGGTAGAATCTATTTTTGAAACACCAACTGAAAAATGACTAGCCGTCTCTGCGTCTAATACTTCGTACACAAATGTATTAGATTTCATTGAAATCTGAAACGTCAGAGTTGTTAAAAAATTGATCTGTGTACCACACACGAAAGTATAAAAAATATCGAATTTTTCAATATTTCGGTTCAAATCCGAAAGTCCTTCTGAACTTTTCAAAATCAACGTCACTTGCCGTACGAGACCATCAAATAGCCAAATAAATAAAAACTATTCAGGATCTCGCTACATAGATATGACATTTCCGTACATTGATTATTGATTTTAAACAAATCCGAAAGTTATGCATTCGCTAATTTGATGTCCGGTAGAATACTTTCCAGTATTATTTTATTATTATTTAAACGAATCAGCGCTTGATGTCGATGTACTCGGTATCGGTTAGAGAAATGTAATAATTATCAGTAAAGATTTTCTTTGTTTCATCAATATTAATGTTACGATAAAATATTTCAAACGAACGTACATAAAACGCGGTACATTGTATCATACTACAAGTTTTAAAATCAATAATATAACATTCGGTTACACTTTCCGTGATTCTGAAAACCAAGTAACTCCATCGTCGGTGACGTATTATTGAACTTTCATACATCATTTCAAACGAGTGTGAACAATTTCGTTAGGCATATAATAATTTTTATAATAAGAATAATAAATACTCGCTCATTCTATATGAATATATAGTATATCTACACACTTCATAAATATGAATTACGGGTCTGACGGGTCCTGTGTGCCGTATACAATGAATATTCATATATTTATAGATACATTTTATAGCGCTCGATTCCATGAACTGCTAATGAACTAGTCGAAATTATTTTCGGATAAAATTAATTTTGAATTAAAAACTTTGTGACTGATATTTGAATTTTAAAATAAATATTTTAGTTATTATTGTTATTATACACTTCGTCTTCACTGTAATTATGCATTGAGATGGAAAATGAGTGAATGAAATAAATTAAGTCAATAGAAATGTTATTTATTTTAAAATATTTTTGATTTCATTTTTTTAAATCAAAACTGTTAAATTAATTCATAAATCATACGGTAAGATTAATTATTATATATATTTTTTTTTGTCTCTTCTTATATTTAATTCTGAGTGAAAAGAGGAATATATTGGTTTTCGTAAAATGTGTATATATATTTTATAATAGATATACAGTTTTTCTTTCGATGATTAGTGGATGGTATTAATTTATTTTAATTATTTTAATCATTTTAATTTCTATTTCTGTAAGAAATAAAAATGAAAGCATTTACTTTTTTTATTAATATTTACAACTCTTTTCCACCAACACCACTGTCATATAAATCATAAAAATATCCATATTCGAACACTCGTAGACGTAGTATACCAATGGTTCTCAACCGGGGTGACATGTCACCCAAGGGTGACATGGACACAGTGTAGGGGTGACATGAAATCTCCACAGGAAAAGGAAAAAAATTAGAAAAAAATTAATTTTAATAAAACCATATTAGTACCACAACAGTCATGTAAATAGCATACCTTTAAGTTTACATCTTTATATTATTTAGATCCAATGAATACGTGCAGTATTGTTATTAACGTAAAATCGATGTATTATCGATTTTTTTATCGACTTAACCGGGGTCGTTAGTTATTTTACAGTCGTTAGATATGTAGTATTATTATATACAAATAAAATAAATAACAATCTTTAAAAAAATTTCTCTTTTTTTTTTTTTAATTTTAAGTATAAACTTTATAATATCAATGTTTATTGAACAATGCATCTCAATAAATTGTAGGTGTTCTACTGTTTTCTTCTGTTATTATTCTTCTGTTTTTATTGTTTTTGTTATTTCAAGAATTATTCTAAAATACACAGTTAAGATTATTTATTATTTTGATGTTAGGGTGACGCGGTGTTTAATTCTAGTGGCTAGGTGACATGAATGAAAAAAGGATAAGAATCACTGTAGTATACTCCCAACAAAATATTTATTGACTATTGTATTCCCTGTCATGTAAAAATTAATAAAACCCCCACCAAAAAAAAAATGTTTAGACACGCCCCTACATGTAGATATTTTATAAATGTCTATAGTATTAGAAATTTATAGCTGAAAATAAAATTACAAGCCTCCTAACACTATTTTTTATAAAATAAAAATAAATAAAATTTGAATACAATTATAACTCATGGTTTGCATTCCAATTTATATTTTAAATCATAATAAAATAAAATATATATTTTGATCCGTTGCAGAATCGGACATTGGAATATTGTCTTATCTAAATATTATTTATTTATTATATATATAATTTATGCTAATAGATTTATAAAATTATTATTTTGTTCTCGGTTTAAGTATATAATGACTTATAAGGTTTGTTTACAATTTTCCAAAAATCAATCTAATTAAAAATGATCGAATTTATTGTCGTAATAATGAAAGGAAAAATGTTATTTTAAAAAACTTTCGAGCGGATTATACCCATAAGATCCAACATATATAAACATCAATAAATTTGAATAAATGACATTAAAAAAATTTCAGATATTTTTCATAAATAATAATGCACGAAACCGACAACATTTTAAATATTCCACGCAGGCTTTTCACTGAAAATAATACATAATTCAAATTTTAAATACTTGTTTTTTTCACACAAGGACGTAGGAGTAATTCCTGAAAATAATGTGTTTTTTACAGTGTGTGCGTGTGTTTCATGGTGAATTGAGAATAATTAGAAAAAAATAATAATAAGTTCTAATTATTAGAGCTATAATTATTTTTCGAGTCTAATATAATGGTATAACATCATGTCATTTCGCTCAGCTGTTTTGAAATCCATAATACCTTATAAATGTTGTGTTAATGTAAAATATTTATTTATTCAAAAGATCTTTTTTTTTTTTTGAAACTATATTTATTTATTAAATTGAATTACATAGTTCCTAGCTTTCGCTGTCTGCATTTAGGATATAAATATAACGATATAATAATGATCTTTGTTACCTAAACCAAATCATAATGGCACATAAACATTTTATAAACTTTATATGAAGGAAATATTTGTAAAGAGAATATTATTTTATAGACCTTTTTTTTTTTTTTATTAAAGTTTATTTATTTATTTATTAAAAATTATATACGATCTATGGAACACAATTAGTATAATGAGTAAATTTAATAAATGATTATTAACAGAAGATTGCGTTTATGCGTAAGTACTCAGCAGTGTCACACGACACGGTATTTTTAGACGTACGTAAAGTTGCCCCACCCACTTTGCCCTATCGGTTTCAAACTAATTCCAAATAATTGTAAATTAATTGTAAATAATTGTAAATGCAATTCTGGAATTTTTAAATCCCCAAGAAAGTCACAAAATCAAAATCAAAATGGGGGGGGCCAACTTCACGCAGCCCCCCTACTTTGTCCTATCGGTTTCAAATTAATTCCGAATAATTGTAAATTAATTGTAAATAATTGTAAATGCAATTTTGGAATTTGTAAATTCTCAGAGAACATGGAAAATCAAAATCAAATGTTTATACATATTATTATTGTTATGGGTGGGATTACATCATGTGTATAGTTTAATATTAGTAACGAGTCGAACTTGTGATATTATTAACCTAATATAGTATATTTTCTGAATTCCAAGGAACCTGAGATATCGGATATTTATAGTCATTTTTTTTATTACTTATGTATATATATATATTTTTTTTTTAAGTTATGTGAAAAATTGCGTTTATTTTTCCTATTGAAAAGTTAAGTTATTACAGTAACGAAAAGGTAACCTTGTAAGCTATTAATTACTTTTAGTTTATTAGTTATAAATAAAGTATCTTAATTCATTTTTAAAATTCTGAACCGGCACTTTCAATTCAATTTAAATATTTATTGAACACTAAAACTATTAATATTATTACATCTTGTACTAGAAAATTAATTTAATATACAAACTGCTTATTAGTGTAAACATAAATAAAAACAAATATTACCTCATACCTTAAAATATAAAAACTAAAAATATTAAATTAAATAAAAATTGTGTAGCCTTATGACACATTAATTAAAATAGATATTATAGCGAAATATTAAATTAAATTAGCAATTACAATTTAGTATAAATAATTAAATGAGGAGAAACTTTATGTTTTATCGGGTGTTATAGTTAAGAATTTTTTTTGCCAAGTCGTTGTGCTTTTCCCATTGTCCATTTGAACGTCGAATGTAACTCACATAATGCCCATTACTATAGTCTAAAATTCCATTAAAAATAAATCTATTGAACAATAAAAAATAATTATAATTTAAGATGAAATAATTATGCAGAAAT